AACAGAGTTTGGCTTACAATTGAGTAGCTAGATACATACATATGCGTTTTGTTATAACTTGTATTAGTTTCACTAAGGAATTATTAGTTTGATTGAATTGGATGACCCTTCATATGTTCACCGTAAAACATTTATAAATATCTACATAATTTGTACATATTGTCACTATGGAAGCACACAGTAAATCTTTGTTTCCACGAGTAACGAGGTAGAAATGCGTATGGAAGTCGGCTGTGCAGTTTATTGGTAAATTTGTAGGAAAATGCCAAATAAAGTATTACATAAATTATTATTTGACACTATCTCGGCAAGTTTTTACTATTAACCACATAGTTATACTATCTGCACCCATCACACCGTACAATCGTTATTCCAAAAGATTCGAAAGTTTCCAAATACAAATATTATAATATGTAATAATCTACCATCATAGATTAACTCACATGCTTTCATTGGTCATTATGTTGAGGTTTTTTGTGTGTATATATGTCGTCATAAATTTTCTGGTACAATATCTGGATTGGAAAACTTAAACTTATTATTTCTTTACATTTTCAAAATAAGATATATACATTTATACATACATAAAACATTGTTTAAGAGTATATGTATCTACACGTATGTATCTGTGCATCGTACATATGTATCTCATAGTTTGCATGTTTATTTATGATAATCTAATTATCAATTACGAGAAACAGGATACGCATTGAAATACTTGCTCAAATAAAAATTCTCTTGAATACTAGTTTTATGTACATATCTACGTATTTACATCGATCTGAAAGTATTTTATCTGCGAAACAAGGCCGAAAAATATTCTGGTTTGATAGCTAATTTAATTTCCTCCCGTTGTATGTAGAAAGCCGAATCAGAATTTAGCTTATATATCGAACGTATACAACACCCATTCCTCCATTTGTTAAGATTGTCCATAAATTTTAAAAGTTAGTGTCAAAAATAGCAGAATTGTTTGCCATTTGTGTCCAAGCAACCAAACTAAAGAAATTATTTCATAGATTTATTTATAGCTTTATTTACAACGGTCCTTCCAAAAATGGGTGTAACGCCACGAATGTGGTCAGCCTTGGACAAGTTTTCATCCAAACGCACCTTATACAACCGTGTAGGGTGGGACCACGTCAATAAACAAGTAGAATTTCACCCCATCTCGATAAAATTAATTCCGTACTTGATAGCTACCCTGGTTCTCCTACCAATCGTAACCTTTTGTTGCGGAGCTATCCTGACGCTTCAATTATTTGGATTCCTTAACCTCGACTCGCTACCTGTCTTGACGACTGGAGCAATCACTTTGTTAGCGATAACTGGATGGTTTGTAGAAGCCATGTATCTATTTAGTGGGAAAGATTTAGTCCATTTTGCCAACAGTCTGATACGACTTGATCCAAAGTTGCGATCAGGTGAGTTGTTACAGAGTTTTGTTTCGTGTGCATGAAATTAAATGCACGAAACTGTACGAACTACAGAAAACTATGTAAATACGTGAAGTGCACGAAATATGAATAAAGCTGAAAATCACAGTTTCTCTAATTTAATTCTATTGCATTGTATAATGAAATTTTTTTGTCTAACCTGGATTTAAACAGTTCACCAACTAAAGACGTTTGTTACAAAACAAAGAATGGAATATGGGCTAGTGCCACATGATGAGCCATGTTTACTTTGTTAGAAGGGAAGGTACATATATCGCTGGTCGTGTGGACTATTGCTGAAAAATAATTTCTCTGGGGCGGAAAATCTCCCGCTCTCGTATGTAAATGAGGCCAAACTACGTCTTTTTCCGTCCCACAGAGATATTTGTTCTGCAATAAGTAGTGCATACGGCACTATCTGCATATTCGCACGATGGTGATGGTGTGCGTATGTAAATGAGTTTAAGCGGTGAAAAATCTAATTTCTTCAGATCTGACAAAAGCAGGTAGTTAAGTATATAAAAACTTGCTAAAAAAGCGTTACAAAATGTTCAATCGTCAATTATAGGTAAAGAAAGTGATCCATTTTTAAATCAGCTTCATATTTCGTGCATTCCATGTATTGAATACTTAACCAGTGACTCGCAAGTACACATAAAGCCAAAAATTCTTTCACCAAATTCATTTCATCTTAAATTTATTTTGTTCCCGTAAAATTACTTACTTTACATTAACGAATAGTTTCTACCGAATTATGTAGGTGCCGCGCCCGTAAAACCTTGCGAGACAACTGACCATCTCGGACCCTTGTTACACATTGTTGTACACGTTGCTCAAGCATACCAATACTTCGCCGTCGTAATATTCATTTATTTCGAATTGGATCCGATATATCTCGTCCAGAAACATATATTCCCAATTATTCTGAACTATTTGAGTTATTATTCCACACTTTTTACAAAACTGGTCGTACCACCAAACAGTAACCCAGACTTTAAATTGTCTGATATTCTTTGGTTCCTTGCCAGACTATTGCAGATCATCCCGTGCGCCCAAGTCTGTCTAGCGTTGTCCTGGACTGTCATACTTTTTACGGTTATCGCGCATTTGGCCCTGCAATGCATCGAATCTATGGACACCGGATGTCACAATATTTTGTTGCGAAATCGGTACCATGTAGACCAACATATTTGTGGGTATGCCGCCCTCAGGATAATCGTCTTAATGGCAACGGTAGAAATCGGGGCGGTAATTAGTCTCTTTATGACGATCGGAATGATAATGTGCATCATTTTGAATTATGTCACCATCAAACTTTATGCTCTTCTTCCGCCGATGATCTACATAATCTGCGCAGTGCTCGCTATTTTATTACCGGGCGTGATTCTTGTCATGCTGCCCATGATCGTGGACATCCATGAGAATGGGAGGCGGGTCGTGGATAAGTGGAAGGATCTCTTGAGCAGGAGGGACGACAAGAAGTACTTGGTGAGAAGGGTGAGGAGTATCAAGTTGCTCTGTGTACACGCTGAATTGTTCGGGTTTAAGGTGTTTAAGTGTCAAAAATCGACGAAAAGAATATACTATTTTGCAATTGTGAATTATACTTGGACAGCTTTATTATCCGTTGATAGCTCGAGGTTTGTGTATGTATTACAGTAAATAAGTAATGTAAAGATTGTAAGCAGGGCCTAAGTTAGTATGTGAATATGATTGAAAATGGGGAAATAATAGTACCGGGTTCTAAGGTAGTCATTCGTCCTTGGAATAAAGAAACAACAGGGCAACAAACTAAATAGTAGTTTATCGCCCTGAGAACAAATTTGTCCAAGTGTTGTGCAATTTTTTTCCAAATTGTTGTCATCCTTTTTTCTCAACCCTAGGTAAATTTAGCACAACTTGTATTTAGAGTGTACATAGATTTGTAAATACATACACGCGTGAAACAAATTGTATAGTAAATAATTCCACCAAAAATGTGTTAAAAAAATTTCACACTATTATAAGCTTTTATATTTTCATTTACTTGACATATTTATGAATATATGTATGTATGTAATAAAGGACATTTAATAATCCAGAATAATCCCCATTGTCTTGCATTTCATTGTTACCAAGTCTGGGTTACCTGCAGTGTATGTATACATATGTACATAATATGTACAATTTCACTATATGGGACTGTGCAGAAAGCATGTGATCGATTTGAGGGGACATACTGTCCTTCCCGTTTTTAATTATGTCATAAGATATATAGATCACCGGAGGGGGCTATGGGTCTAAATTCTCGGAAAATCGATCATATATTATATGCTCTGTGCACGGCCCTTATATTAGAATTCATGTTTTACACAAACACATCTTGTCAAACGTTTTTCTTATGTACAGTATTTATCCTTCGTTCGCAGAAAACTATAGGCTTTATGGATGAGAAGGTGGTCATGAAAAGGTGACAGGGGCACTTAATCCTTATGCAGGATGTAAATTTACTATCTTAAAAACGTTACTTTTTCTCACAGAAACGTTATCCTGATTTACATACTTCTTAATATAGTATTGGAATTGAGAGTATGTACATATACTTCTCGAATGGGCAACATTATTCTTATACATTCTCAAGATTTATCCCGTACAAACGTTTTCCTTCTAGTATTTTTGCTTTTATATATTGCCATCCGTTCCGTTTAGGTCAATCATCACAAAACAAATACCCTTTTTGGGTTGAGACTATAAATACTATTTCTGAATTACAACCTTTCACATGAGCAGGTAGCCGTGCCATGCCTTCAACCTGATTTTGGTTCATTCCCTTTCAATCAATCAAGCTGACCAGCAGACTTTACTGTTCTCTACAAAAAAGTGTGAAATATTTTTTAATAAATATAACAATGTCTTACTATTTTTCCCAATTTTTTAAAAAACTTCGCTACCTCTTCTCTTCCTCGGAAACAAACGAGGTTAGCGAAACCCCCGAAAAATCTAGTGTTAAGAGAAAATACTGCGAAATCGGGGTTGGAACAGGGGAAGATTTAGAAGATAGTAAAAATCCCCCCGTAAAAAAAGTTAACCTCGAAGCTATTGAACCTCCCCCCGGAATCCCAGCAGCCTCCTCAACGATAGAAATGCGTCGCAAATGCTGCACCAATTTCGGCGACCTTGTCGAATTCGGGGACGCGTTTGGTTTACCACCACCAACACTAATTTCCGGACAAATTAGTGTCGATCCAACAACCACTACCAATTCCGTGACCACAACAACCACTTCCCCCACCAGCACGACCCCCACAACGACATCTGCCTCCACCACCACCACAAATACGACAACCGCCCCCACCAAAACTGCCATCCCCACTGATGACAAAACCAAGCCCACCGATCCCACCGCAAAGATAGACGACGTAAAAACCGAGAAGGAGAAACAAGAGGAGGAAGAATTCATCAAAAGTCACGAAGTCCACGTGGTCGATCCACCCCCAGAAATTCCCCCTGTCACCACTGACCCTAATAACCCAACCCCTTCCCCTCCCCCTCAACCAGTTACCCCACCCCCACCCCCATAAACTTCTCATCCCCACACCTCCAAAACTTCGACTTCAACGAGCAGATCGACTTCCTCCGGAAGAACCTCATCAACCCCATGAAGTGTCGCGACCTGTACAAATCTGCCAATATTTCTCTCCCAAAAGGCATTTATTTCTATGGCGTCGAAATAAAGTCGCACGCCCTCGTCCTCGTCAAAGCCCTTGCGACCGAGTTGGGCAAAGAATTCGGAGATGGGAAGAAACCCCTCCGGATTTTTAGACGGATGGCGTCCGACGTCGTTTCAAAGTATTCGACGGACAAGAGCGCATATTCTTTTGTGGATCGACTCTTCTCCGTGGCGACGAAGAATAAGCCGTCAATCATCTTTATGGAGGATTTGGACAAGTTTGGAGGATTTTGTCAGTATAATATTAGTAAGTAAATTTCTATTTCTAGCTTTCATGGAAAGATTTTATTGATGTATTTACTTATCTAGGTCGAATTTAAATTAATGAAAGTATTCGCGACAACGTATTAAGAATTTCATATCGCAACTAATTTAGCAAACTTATGTGGTGGTGGTACGACGGAATTCGCAAAATATTATTTCGCAAATTTCCCAACTCTGTACAAACAATTATGTTAATTTGGTTTCCATGGACCATTTGCAATTTATCAATCATTTAGTGGAGTTTGCGAAATAATCTTGCGCAATAAAAACGTCCTGGAAAAATTTACCAACAAAATTCTAAAGTTTTCAAAAGTATTTCGAAATCTTATAAATTCGTAAAACAATTTTTTGAATTAACTTTCCCATTTTTTGCAGTGACAAATCACGACCTCGTCACAAAACTTGGCACCTGCATGGACGCCCTAGTTCCCGGCGAGGTCTTCGTCATCGCCACCATCACCTCTATGACGAACACCTTCGCACCCCTCAATTCTGGGAAACGGTTCACAAAATTTCTCTCGTTCCCGTCAAGCCTCTCCGTCAACGGGATACTTGGCTGTCTTAAAATGGAAACGGAGAAATGGCAGATTTCCACCACCACGGAAAATTCCAGGGAGGAAATTTTAGTCAAAGTTTCCGAACTCCTTTCCACTTCCGGTCTTTCCCTAAAATGCGACGATATTACGACCCTTTGCCAGGAAATTTATCAGACCGCTATCAACGATCAAATCCAAAGCAGCAGACCCCCAGTTGCTGATTGCTGCAGTTGTTGCAAGTGTCCCCCAACCGCGCCAGAATTTCCTACCTTGCCTCAATGGGAGGCGGGACTTAAGGCATTCACAAAAATGAAGAAGGTCACTGCAGCGCCAGCCAGGCCGGGTGAGAACTCGGATTTTACCGCGGCCACGGCGCGTTCCGATTCGTCCATGGATTCCCTAAGCTTTACCAAGATTGGCGGGCTTGCGGCGCAAATTCAAATTTTGACGGAGAACATAATCACGCCTTTGAAGAACCGCGATAAATTGAAAGAACTCGGATGGGATGTTGAACCCGTGCGGGGTTTCATTTTCCACGGCCCGCCAGGAACGGGGAAAACGCTACTGGGGAAAACCTTGGCGGCAGAATTAAGCCGTTTGAATGAGAGCGGGAATGGGAAAAAGTTTTCTTTCTTTTATCACAAAGGGACCGACTGTTATACGAAGTGGGTTGGCGACACGGAGGCTAAGTTGAGATCGATTTTTGCAAATGCGGAGGCGAAGAAGCCGGCGATAATTTTTATGGATGAAATCGATGGGCTTTGCAGTGCGAGGGATGAAAACGGTAAGTTTTTGAGAAATTTGGAAAATTTATGACACAATTGACTGGTAACTTGTAAGGTATGTAAGTTTTGAAAAGTAATTTTACCAATTTTTGAGAAAAACGGAGTTTGAACTCAGCAAGTTTGCAAAAATGTGTAAGCTAATTTGAGCCGTATGTCAAAAAAATAAATGCAACAATATTTGTGCATATTTTACAGTTCACATTTTGTAAAATTTCAATTCGAGTGAAATTACATTTAAATATTTTAAAAACAATGCAAATGTGTTGTTTAAAAATTCTGCCTTGACTCCCCACTTAAAATTTTCTAATTAACCTATTTAAAATTTGTTACAGCCTCAATCTCCAAATTCTACAACGGCGTCGTCACCACCATGCTCGGTCTGATGGATAATCTCCCACGTGGGGAAGTTTTCGTCATCGCGGCGACAAATCGTCTCACCTGCCTCGACCCTGCTCTCCGTCGTCCCGGCCGATTCGACAAAACCATCGAATTCCAGGCCCCAAAATTGGAAGGACGAAAATCCATCCTGGAAATCCACACGGCGTCGTGGGACGCAAAATCCAAAATGGAGGCCACCTTTGTCGACGAAATCGCCGAAATGACGGGCGGTTACACGGGCGCCGATTTGGAGCAAGTTTGTCGACAAGCATTCGTCTTCGCGATGCGGCGACATTCCTCAACTCAAAATTCTCCGAAAACCGAAAATGTTCCGAAAAATAAGGAATCCGAAACCGGATCTGACTTTGACGGGTTAATCGTCCAACGGCAAGATTGGTACAGCGCGCTCAAGTCGGTCCGCCCAAGCGGGACGAATCACTTTGGAAATGCGGTCATCACAGATAAGCCAATTCCCAACGGGGCCGCGGCCGCGTTGAAGGAGAAGCTGGATGAGATAACGGGTCGGTTGGGGTATTTTCTCAAACCGGAAGATGCGACCGTGGTGGGCGCATCATCATCTTCGAAATGTGGCGGGGGACTCAATACCTTTTTGATTTGGGGGAGTGATGCGAAACAGGTTGGTCAAAATATGGGAAACAAATTGTTGGAAATTTAAAAATTTAGGGATTTCTAACTTTTCACAATGCAAAAAAATGGGATATTCATTTAAAGAGTTCCCATGTACGCATCGAGATACAATTATAAAAAAAACATTCTGCGATCCAAGTAACAGGTTTTGAAATACGCAAATGGCTTTGCATGCCAATTTTTTTGCGAAATTGTGATTTTTATCTAAGAATGCGAACTTGTAATGAATACGCTAAAAATTGTTCACAATTGTTCAGTCGAATTACGAAGGAAATATGACAATCGTTTAATTTAATGGCGTTTATCTTATTTTTTTAGCTTAAAGTAATCGACAATCTCCTAATTCCGGCGCTCTTTTCCTCGCCCGCGTTCAGCCCCACGCTCGCCGCCAAATTTGAAATTCCTCCCCTCGGCGTTGGTCAGGAAGTCATACAACGCCACGTTTCTTCCACGTTCAACCACGTGCTGAACCCTGGCGAGGGGAAATTCGGAATTTTATACGTTCCTGGGATCGATCAGTTGTTGCATGCGAGGATTGGCAAGTTTTGGAAGATGAAGGAACACGAACAGATTTTGGACAGTTTTGAGATGCTGAGAGGGGAACGAGTACTCCTCATCGGGACTGCTACCGGATCACCGGACCAGATGAGTGATCGGGTTCAAGTCCTGTTTAGAGGTGCGTAAAACTTTCATTTTTGGCGAACCTAGTGTATGTACATCGATCACAATGTAATTAATATGAAATTTGCAAAAGGCGCTACCCAGTGCTCAGAATTGGCACAGAAATTTGCATCCAAAAAGGAGAAAAGTCATGGTAAATTTGGAAAGTGTCAAATTTGCCAACTTAAGGCATCGTTTATCGTTTTATTCTATTTTTCGGCAAATACTGCGAATTGTCAGATAATGCCATTTGCAAATTTCATATTATTCAAATTTGCGAGTAATTAAAAAGAATTTGCTCGAAATCTATGAGCATACGCTAGGGGACCTTAATTGTTCGTAAATTTATAATTTTTTTGCACACTTTGCAAATTTATTACAGGTCTTCAAAATTCCCGCCACTACGAACTTCCTGCCCCCAACGTAACCGAAATACGACAAGTATTCTCCAACATCTCAGCGAAAATCCAACCCGCTACGTTTGAAAAAATGATAACAAAACTAGGTGGCGCCACACCTCAAAATACGGCTGACCTTGTTGGGAACACTGTTACTCGAAAAAATTTGACTTTATACGACTTACTCGATTTTGAGGGGGAAGTTGCCCAAATTTTTACCCAATATGACTCGAAGTCTGACAAGGATAAAACAGACGAGGAAATCAATACAGCTTTGGAGAAAGCTACAGAAGCATTTTGCTCTTATTTAGATGGGCAAGAAAAATACAAATCGTCCCTTTCCAGCATGTATACTTGAGTATACGACTTGTAAATATGTAATACATATTCATTTACTAGATAATTAAGTTTTAATGCTTCTTACTCAAATTAAATTATGGATAAGGTAATATTGAATTCACAAAATTAATACAGTTTTCCAAACGTTCAAATTAAATGTTAACACGGACAAGGTGTAAAAAAATGTTTGTCCCGAGTTGACACTTGGTTTTACGCCGGCCATGATTTTAAAATTTCAAATAAAAATATTCAACCATTCAAAAGTATGCATTCTTGGTATATTCATCTTTACATATGTTATGCATCGTTATTTGCATATGTATGCACATGCGTTTTATCGATATCATGTACCCATCAATACCTTTGGCACATTAAAAATTTGTTTTCCTACAGAAGCAAATTTACAAGTTGTACGTATGTATGGCTCTCATCGACGCCCTGACTTCTTGGCAATGACGATGACGACTCTCGTCGACGAGGTCCCTCATCAAGGTCCGTTTCGCCAGACTTCGTTGAGGCTCCTAGTCAGCCCGTGACGACGACGGAGTTCGTACTCGAATCGTTTCATTGTCCGGGAACCAGGGGGCGTGGTTGCAGTTATAAAATTTAGCACGGATTCCAATGTCTGCAATTTATATTTATTGTACACAAGGAAACAAATAGGAAGTAAGTAATTTATATAACTAATTAATTGTTGTCAATATACTAAAAAATTAAAAATAGAAGTAACCATGCATAGATATGTTGCCATTAATAATGTACATAAATACAAAATAAAGTTCAAAGATTAAATCATGCTGCTGACAAACTCGCCTCCCTTCATATTCAGTTATTTTTGTAAACTGATATCCATTAACACTCGAATAGGTTGACTTGACTTTATCGCTGCTTCTCGTGCATTGCTTTCTGGCCCCGAGCAGCATGATGGGTACGTGGTACGTGCCGGACCATTTTGTGTTCAAAAAATTTCATACCGGACAATTTGATTTTTTTATGTGTATCCAGATCATCAGCAAATGGGCGAATCGCTATAAGGGGTTCGGAAAAAGTTCCTCCCCACTTACTCCAACAAAAAAACATAAGCTTATTTCTCAAAACTGTGAGGCGCAGGGAATCAAGTGTTTTTCCCACACATATAAGTACTGGCTAATATTTGGAAAAAATTCCTTGTTTCCCATACTATCAAAGCCTTTAGGTTGCAATTTCGCTATAAAATTATTAAGTAGCTTCAGCTACTTTATGTGAAGACTTTGTCTGTCTGTCTGTCTGTCTGTCTGTCTGTCTGTCTGTCTGTCTGTCTGTCTGTCCGTCTGTCTGTCAGCAGGATAACGGGAGAACGGATAAAGATAATCGAAATCGGTTTTCGCCATCATACATAATACCCCAGGGGGAGGATCCTATCAACTTTTGGGTGCAACCGGACCACACCCCCGGTCGCCAGGGGGTGTGGTCGGGGCAAAATGAGATTTTTAGTGCAATTGAATCTATGGATGAAATGGAGTGAAATTTTGAGTTCCCCCGTTGTGCCACACCCCCCGGGCGCCAGGGGGTGTGGTCGGGGCAAAATGAGATTTTTGAAAAAATTGAATGCATAGATGAAATACAGTAGAATAAAGTGCTCCCGAGTTGTGCCACACCCCCTCGTCACTAGGGGGTGTGGTCGGGGCAAAATGAGATTTTTGAAAAAATTGAATGTATAGATGAAATACAGTAAAATCAAGTGTTCCCGCGATGTCGTGGGAGTGCTTGGAGTGAAGTAGTCTGAAGCTACTTCCGTATGCGCGTTTGCGACGGTTTATTTGCAATTATATGTGCCATATTTGTATAATACGGAGGGTTTTCACGCCAAGCGCAAAAAACTACCGGCTACCATAACTTTCGACCCACATTTTGAACGCACGGGTGGTACATGTGACTTTTTTCCGGTTTTGTATACCATATGTTGTAGGTTCAATTCTGGATATGGCTCATTTGAAAATTCATTAGTCGTGAGGATATGACGCCATATTTCTCGACCTTGCCTTTTTTCACGAAATCGCTACCTTTTTGGAATATTTCTCCAATTTTTAGACTGGCATTAAGGTTCTTTTGAAATAGTAAGCTTTCCTGACCTTGCTTATGAGCAGTGCGATTCCAATTCGTCGATTTTGCAAACTTCAGTATTGTTAGTGTCATAGTGTGGTAAATTTATGTACGTGATAATAATTTTAATGCGTTTTGGCCCATATCACTCTTTTGCACAAAGTAGAATCGAACTTCTGGCTCCTGATGAACCTTGAGCTGAATTGTTGTTTTTGTAGTAGATGACACCTTTCTACGTGGGTCAGACCTTTTTTTGTATATGAAAAAAATTCTACTGGTCCGTAGCCTAACCGTTTTTCTGCCACATCAAAATTTCTCCGATTTTTCTTATATTTTTAATTTCTGCGGAACTTAAGTTTTTGTCGGAACTCTACGATGGTCACGACTGACCTTTAGTATTGGACTACTCATGGTAAAATTTTCAAAATTAAATATTAACAGGTTCGGGAATGGCAGCTGAATTTAGCTCCTTGCGGGCTACGAAATTTGACTGGGGAGAAACTTTTTCCGAACCCTTTAAGCTTTTCAGGAAAGACCAAAAATTATTAACTTATGGCGTCGCACGGTTTTAAAACGGAACGGCGACAAAATATGTTTTACTACTTCATAAAACATATTTTGTTAGGGGCCGTCCATAAATTACGTAACGCAAAAATCGCGATTTTCTAGACCCCCCTTTAACATGTTTAACATACGCACGATATCATTAGTGCTTTAGACCCACCTCTCGCGTTACGTAATTTATAGACGGTCCCTTACCATAAACCGTATAATTTAATATTTAATCTTGACATAATTTTGGTTTTTCATTTTATACTTAGCAATTTGAACGGGAATAACTTTTGTATTATGATGAATATATTTATTTAGGTACACATTATGGTGACAAATAAACATCAAATTTGTCGTTTTGAAATTTTTTGATCAAAATTAGCCCGGCACGTACCTATCGTGCTGGTTGGGATTTGTGACAACACGCATGTTCATATCTCACCTCTCTCTTGGCATAGAACGGTTATTAATGAAGTATGACTTTTTCCATTTATTGACCTACAGCCCTCAAACTTTTTGAGACTGTTAACGGTCATGAGTACGGCAAAGCATATTTTTTCATATTTTCTGGCGTTGGTACATACATATTTATATTCTCGATCATATCATATTTCGGACTTTGTTTAGTTTATCTCATGACTTTTGGCCAAATTCAAATATTTTGCATACGAATTTACCAGGAAATGAAAAAAAATAGTCTGTTTTCTCAGTATGATGCATTGTGAGAAATTAAAAAAAATATGTACATTCACTTTCCTCTGGAGAGATTTATATCATTCATCGGCAATGATTTAAATCTCCCTATTATAGAGCTTGTTTTATTCATGAAAATAGAGAATCACACGAGCCAAACTAAAAAACTAGTCATTTTTAGGGTCATAATTTGGGGATTTTTAGGGTAATTTTTCATTCATATTTTAAGCTTTATTCCATCATTCATAACCGACGTCTGCTCATTGGTGACATCATCGTAACCCAGCCTGTCAAAGTGTCAAATTGCATACCTTCCAGTTCCAGTTACAGTTGAGTTCCAGTTGTACATTTTTGCATCTACTCTCCAAGTAAAAATATTATTATTATTATTATTATTATCAATTATATATATAGATATTTTTATTTACTAATAAATATATATATTTATACATATGTATATACTAATATATTCATATAAATAAATATATATAAATATATATATATATATGTATATAAAGGGTGTTAATAAAGTCCGATCCCATTTTTCCTATAAAAAAGTGAAGGCTAGTATAAAAAAAACTACCCGTCATACTTACAAAAAGTGTTCGACATATTTACCTTAGTATTTGGTCTTGTTACCATTTACTTTAACCATGCCCTCAACTCTTTGTTTAAGGCTCTGTGCTAATTTTTCCAATGTGTCTGTGGGAATCGAATTCCATACATCTTGAACTTTTTTTACTAGCTCTTCCCTCGTCCGGGGTTGTGGTTCTTTGTATACATTTTCCTTAAGTATGGACCACAGGTTCTCCAGGGGATTCAAATCTGGGCTGTTTCCGGGCCACACCCCCTTGCTCCAGACCGTTGAAACTTGCGTCTTGATGAGACTCAAACTCGCTTTTGCTGTATGGGCTGTAGCACCATCCTGCATGAAAACTATTTTTCTTTCATTCGGAAATATTTCCTTGTTCCCCATGCTATCGAAATAGATAGGTAATATTTTTTCCATATAATACTTTGCATTGACTGTTTGGCCTTTTGGTATGATATGTAGAGGAGTCACGCCACGTGCACAAAATCCACCCGCTACCATAACTTTAAGCCCGAATTTTGGGACTACTCTTGATGGTACATCCGATTTGTTTTCTGTCCTGTAACGAACATTTTGTTGGTTCAATTTTGGATATAGCTCAATAATAGATTCGTCAGTCCAAAGGATGTGACTGCGCAATTCTTCACCAAGTCTTTTTTCACTCAAATGGCCACTTTTCTGAAGGAGTTCTCCAAATTTCAGACGGTCATCGATATTTTTTTGTGACATGAGAGGTTTTTTGGTTAGTTTGTAAGCTGTGTGACCCCACCTCGTAGATTTCACAAATTTTTGCACGGTCACATAGTTAATTTGCTTCTTCTTCTCTTTATAGCGTTTTGAGTCATTTAACTCCCTTGCACAATTACGTAATGAACTACCGGTTTTCTTGTAAAGTCTGTTTTTAATCATTCTCTTTGTGGTAGGTGACACCTTTCTGGGTCGCCCGGGTCGCTTTTTGTCGTGGACAAAATTTTTGTTCTTCCATTTCCAAACAGTTCTGCGGCTGCAGCCCAATTTTTGCACAATTTCTGCAGGTTTAAACCCCTGCTGATGCAATGTTTGTATCTTAACTCTAAGATGCTCATGACTTACACGTTTAGTTGTTCCTCCCATGGTAAAAATTTGAAATAAATAACTTCACTGGTTCAAAAGTTCCAGCTGAATTTGTAACAACCGCGCTCCAAAAAATTCATGGGATCGGACTTTATTAACACCCTTTATAATTAACCATACATATGCATATAATTAATATATATATATATATATACTACACATAACTTCATTAACGCAAAAAAACATTAAAACATCTTATAATGTATTAAGAAAAAATTAATAATGTGCCTGAAA